CCATTCCACATTATTACAAATTACTTCATTTCTGGATTTGATTTCTTTGTATGTATGGATCACTTGGGTTGTTACCAACATCTGGTGAAAATTTCATGTCATTAGCACCTCTAGTAATATATTTACTGAGAAAAATGTTGACGTGTTCAATACTTATTTTACCCACTGTAAGTTAGGTCTAAGGTTGAAAACCTGGGGTGGCCGTCTTGAGTTGAGTTGACACCAAAACTTAATCACTTGTAAAGCTGAAGATCGATTTCTGAGTGTTTAGCTTTTATTTCTCCAGTGATTCAGGAGGTATTTGACAGACAGTCGGGGTTTATTCCAACAGTTAATGAGTAAGTTTTCATCCAAAGTGCTGCACAGTCTACGTCTCATGATGCTCAGCTTCTTCCACTCTACATTTTAACTCAGTCAGYACTCTGAGTTTGAGTGATTCTAAAGTCAGTTAAGTGTGGCGGCCATATTGAATTAGCTTCACTTCAAAAGTCAACCAGTTGTGCTTCCAAGTATTCATCTAAATAAACCATCGTGAAAAGTTTTGCTAACAGACAGAACTGACTCCAGTAGTTAATGACGTTTGTTGGTGCTCAGAGTTTGTGATGGGGAGAACTCTTAGCTACTACCAAACCAAACTGTAGCTAAACATTTGTAAAACTGGTGAAGTTTTAAGCATTTTGTGTTTGTTAAACAGAATATACAGTAGAACACTTCATGATATCATAGACCATTAGGGAATACATTAAGTACTTTTACTTTTAATACTTTAAGTATTTTTAAAAATAAGTATTTACTTACTCAAGTACATACTCTACTCAAGAAAAAATATTAATGTGGTGCTTTTTCTAGAGTACATTTCTTGTCTGTATATCTGTACTTTAACTGAAATACAGTGTTTGAGTACTTTCTCCACCACAAGTCAAGAGTAATTTTAAAATAATTAAGTTCAGTTCAGTTTTGATCATAACCTCAGGGCTCAGAGGTCATCCCAGAACAGAGGACACTTCACACTACAACATCCGTAGTTACGTGAAAATAAAATAGAATAAAATAAAATAATATATGAAAAATATTGAAAACCATAATTTACAATGTCAATTCCAGTGAAGCTGGTATATTTTGGAAAACATATAAAAAATAAAAACAGAATATAAGGATTCAATTGAACAAACTACAAAGACAAGATGTTTAATGTTCAAACAGCAAAAGACTGGGTTTTTATCTTAACTCATTCTGAATTTGATGAATTTGACGCTGAAACAGCTTCTAATAAATCTGTACAGGGTCATGTTTCCCATGTTTGTGAACTGAGGACACTGGTTTTTGAAGCTCTGCAGCTGAATTATTTCTATTCTTACTTCATGAACAACATCAGTTGCTCAAAAGACCAGGGTCCCTTCACAAAGCTCCACATATTTTCAACAGGAGAGACAGGTCTGGACTGCAGGAGGACCAGTCTAGTTCCTGCACTCTTTTACTGTGAAGCCACAGTGATGGAACACATGCAGACTGTCTCATGTCTTCCTGAAATCAGCAGGACGTCCCTGAAGGTGGAGCTTGGATGGCAGCAAAACCTGGATGTAGCTTTCAGCATTAATAATGACTTCACAGGTGTGACACTAATACACCTCCATACCATCAGAGAGGCTGGTTAATACACCTCCATACCATCAGAGAGGCTGG